ATTACATAGGACTATTGAGGGAAGCTGAGGTGAAACAAAAAAAGAAAGAAAAGAAAAAATATTAAATAAATAAATAAGAAAAAAAGATTATTACAAAACAAACGGATAAAAGAAATTACAGTAACAAATTACAAAATTAGTTTTTAGTGTTAGAAGTCAAGATGTGTCTACTTTTGAGAAGAAAACTAATAATAGGGAAAGGGTCCTTAAGGGGGACTTCAGAACTTCATACACTAGTGATGTTCTGTTTGAATTCTCAGTATTTATATGGATGTGTTCAGCTCTTTTTGTAATTCATGTATCAAATATACAATGATATACTTATTCTATGTGCACTTTAATATTTTTTAATGCTTCAATAAAAACATTTTAAAAGTTAAAAAGAAAAAGAATTGATCCAGATGTAACAACTCCAGGATCACTTGCCTTCTGTGACTTCTTTCCTAAATCTCTGGTGAAAGGCCTCAAGTCAGGATCATGTGCTTCTTGCTGCCCCCACTCCTTATTTCAAAATAATAGTTTTATTCCTGTGCTGTAGAGAAGCCCAAAGAAAAAAATTCACTTTATTTGAGGACTTTACAAATGACCCCAAATTGCCACTTCTTCTGGAACTTATGGACTCCTAGAAACTAAGGCTGGACTTTCAGTAAATTTGAACCAGTCCCTCTGGACAGGCAGCAAATAACTATATAGTTCAGGGGAATCTAGAAACTGGAGAAATGTAGTCAGACTCAAATGCTCTGACCTGACTCCAAAAATACCTGACAATAAAATGGCCATATGAATAGTATTAGTCTACACATTTATCCTACTGTCATCCCCCAGGATCACTCATACAGAAATTACTGGGCTAAACTGTGTGAAGAAAATAAATTTGGGCAACATTTTATTTGGTGTTTCAGTTAAGGCAGTATATTTGAAAGAGAATAAAAATTTGAAATAAAATAGCACTTCATGTTTGTTTTAACATTTCTTTGATTTTTAGTGATAGAATATATTTTTATATACTTAGAGGTTAATTGTACTTTCTTTTTCATAACTGCATTTCAATATTTCTGACACATGCATTTTTCATATTTTATTTCAATACCTCTGAAATTGCATTTTATAAAACATCTTAAAGTCAATGGCATGTCACAGTTTGACCAAATATTTTCTTTTGCAGTAAAAACAATGGAGTATCTGGCAATCCATGGCATGCTTGATTGGATGAAAAGAATAGGCTATTCTTATATTATTTTCATTGCATATTGGATGTTAACCTTGTAATTGATTAGTAAGAGTCGTTTATCAAGAGTGTGAATACTGTGTCTCATAAGTGTTGAATAAATTCTCTCAGTGTTTTAAATTTTTTTCTTTTGAAATTGGACTTTTAAATATTTCATAGCAAAATGTTTATATCTTTTGTGGTTTCTGCTTTTTGTGTTATCCCAAACTATGTGTTCTTTAAAATCTTTTATTTATATTTTAAGTAATTAATGTTTTACTTTTTGAAAATTTTAAATACTGAATATATGTATTTGTTTTCATGCGTGAGATAACTGTCTAATATTATTTTCTCAACACCACTTACTACATATTATACTTCACTATTGTAAACTGATATACTTCACTGTATAATTTTATGTTGCCTCAGAATCCATATAGTCCCATTGACACAGTTTCTAGTTCTCTGCCTCTCCCAGTTCCTCAAAATGATCCATTTAGATACCTGCCTTATGCAACCACCTCCTGGTGACTACCTTCCTATGGGACAACTGGATACAACTACTTGATTCACCCTCTGACGTCCACACCCGGCATGGATTGTGAGCGACCACCTCTGGTTCACAGTGTGAAATCCTGAAACCCGTGCCTGTTTATTTTAAGCCCACAAATTAGGCTCCTTTGTGGAAACCTGCTTGAATAATGACCTAGACCCCTAAAAAGGCTTTGGTACCAGGTCTCTTATGCCCTCTCTCTCTTGCTCCCCACCTGCTGGTTGAGTATGCATGTCACAGATGGCTGTCTCCTCGTTGGCCCGTGGAGGTGGGCTGCCCTCTTGTCTCTGGAATCTCTAAGTAATAAAAACTGCTTCTGTTATTTCATGTATTTTGTTGTGCTGCTTCCTCTGTGTCTCACCTGATTGACACATCTGAACCTAACTCTCTTTCCAGTTAGGGTTCTTCTAGAGAGTGGCTATCTTGGTAGGTAAAAACTGAACCTGAGTCAGACAAGAGCCACAGGGTATCTGCTGTATAAAAAGGTCTCCAGTAAGAGGTACACCTTGTCATATTTCAGACACTTAGGCAGTAGGGTGTCCACCATAATAAAGAAGTAATCCATGAAGGGCACACTGTCAACATCCATGACAAAGTCCCTGGAGCCCTGTCAGGGCAGGGCTAGAATTCATAGCCACCCTCAGGAGAGAGACCCCCCAAGACCAAATTAGAAAGAAAAAAAAATGCAATATCCACACTATCTCTATTGTTCGAAATGGCAATTTTAACATACACTAAATTCTCATGTATTATATATTTGGATCTGTTTCTGTACCTTTCTGAAACAAGCACCAAATTTTTAAATGCTTTTTTTTTTTTGAGACAGAGTCTCACTCTGTTGTCCAGGCTAGAATACAGTGGCATCAGCCTAGCTTACAGCAACCTTAAACTCCTGGGCTCAAGCAATCCTTCTGCCTCAGCCTCCTGAGTATCAAGGACTACAGGCATGCGCCACCATATCCGGCTAATTTTTTTTTCTATTTTTAATATAGAAGGGGTCTCACTCTTGCTTAGGCTGGTGTTGAACTCCTGAGCTCAAACAATCCTCCCATCTGGGCTCCCAGAATGCTAGGATTACAGGCGTGAGCTACCGCGCTGGCCTAAATTACTTTTATAATTTGCATTTTCAAAAATGTTCCTGGCTATTTTCCAAAGTTATTTCTTGAGGAAGGTAAAAATTGCTTTGTCAAGTAAAACAAAACCAACTTCTACATCAAAAATTTTTATTGAGATTTTCATTGAAATTGTGTTAAATTTTAATACAGTTTTCTGTAATGGTAAATATAAAAATAAAAGATTGTATTTTCCCTCTTGCAAAAAGGGAAAAAGACCTTTTCTCCTTCTCTTTTCTTAGAGCATTTCTTTGAGAAAACTTGCAAGTGTAAATCCTTCCTCTGACCCTTTGAGATTTAGCAAATCTTTCTAAAAAGTAAGCAAGTTTATTGCTAGTTTTACAACCCAAGAAGGTTTTTCCTAATGACCTTAAGCTATGTCTTTGAAAGGTGAACATCAAAGAAGATTGCACCTCATTTTCTCTGTCTTTGTGGTAAACTCTCAGGTTCCTGGCTATATGTGCAACTATCTTCTTGTCATAGAAATACAAGAAGCTTTATTTTTCATTTGGATAAAGGAAATTAACTAACACAGATGTTTATCCCAATTACCAGGTGAATTTAGGATGAATTATGTGTAGCATAACTACTTGAGGACAAGTTATTTTTCATTTTGAGAAAATGGGATGAGTTGTACCTGTGTGGCTATATAAAAATGTGATGTTTCTTTCTGTCTTTGAAATCTCATTAGTGTATTGCCTGTGATGCTCATCACAGTCTGGTTTAATGTTTATTGAATAATAAAACGGTTTTGTTCTTTTCTCCATCTGTGGGGAGCATTTTATGGATTGGCAAAAAAACTTTATTATTTCCCCAACCTCCCATCCAGAAAAGTGTTTATATATATATAGATAGATAGATGTCATATGTGTCTGTATATATATATTTTCTCTATATGGATTCTACATGTTTTAAATTAAATTTTATTACAAAAATTTAATATTTTTGAAACTATTTCGAATGGAAACTCATTTCTATAGTTGACGTACCCCCATAAAACGATGAAATAAAAAAGTAATAAATAAAAAACTTTAAAAAAGAGTTAATTTCATATAGTCATTGGACCAAGAAATCATGTAATTTATTTTACATATTCAGTAAAGGCATCCCTCAATATCTGTGGAGGATTGACTCTGGGACCTCCCCCATACCAAAATCTGAAGATGCTCAAGTCCCTAATACAAAATGGTCTTGTATTTGTATACAAGCTACGTGCATCCTCCCATACTCTTTAAATCATCTCCAGATTATTTATAAACGTCATACAATGTAAATGCTATGTAAATAGTTGTTACATTGTATTGTTTATGGAATAATGACAAGCGAAAAAGTTAGTACATGTTCCGTACAGAGGCAATTTTCCCCACAAATATTTTCTATCCAAGGCTGGTTGAAACCACGGACATGGACCCCGTGGATAAGGAGGAGGACTGTATAATATTCCCTAGAGAAATGATAGCCATGATATTCAATACCACGAGGATAAAATCTGTGTAACAATCTGACAATGTATACATAACATTAAGCGTTTTTTTTCTTTTGAGAAGCGACACATGTGGCCCTCGTCATGTTTCAGCTTACACGTTTTCTAGTTTATTACACGTTTCACGGACCATTTGTATTTTGCATATTGAAAGCTAGCATGCCTAAGATAAAGTCAGCTCTTACGGGGCATTATTCTTTGAATGCATTCCTGTACGTACTTAGTTCCAAGTACTTTAACTAAATTACCCACGGACATTGCTCCCGCCACATCACGGCAGCTTCCGCCTCCCCGCGCGGGCAGCGGCCGCCAAGCCCACGCCTGCGTCCCTGCGCCGGACGGCCGCGCCTCCGGGCACGCAGCAGCAGCCCCGCGCCGCCAGGGGGAGCCCCCACGCTGTGCGCGGCGGCGTGCGCGCCGGGGCTGCTGGGAAGCGTAGTTTCGCCGCGGGGCAGAGGCGCGCTGTGCGCAGGGGCAGTGCCGGCTCCGTCCGGGCGTTGGCGTAGTGTCCCCTGCTTCAGGGGAGCGGACTCCGCACCTTCCAGGCCTCCGCGGTCGGCAGAGGGCGGGGCCGGCTCCGAGCGGGCTGAGAGCAGAGGAAAAGCCCCCGCAGGTGTGTCGAAGGCGTCTGCGGGCTGGCCGGGAGCGGGTCTCGGCGTCGCGCGGGGGGCCCCGCGGGGGCCCCGGGTGGGAGCGGCCCTGGCGACGAGGCCGGCCGTCTGCCCTCGCGTCCCTCTCCAGGAGCTGTTTCCGCGCCCCGCCTCGGGGCAGCCCAGGAGGTCTGGGGCGACCGGGAAAGCGGGGCTCCCGGAGGGAGCGGCCCCGGTGACGTGGCCCGGCCCGCGCGTGGGGCTGCTTGTGACGCCGGCTGGAAAGCGCAGGGCCTGGGCTGGGGTCCAGCGTCTCAGATACTCGTCTGTGAAATGGTGGCAGTAACCTTTAGGGTCGCTTGCCGCATTGAGTGGGGTAGTAGTTATAAAGTATGGTCAAGGACTCAATAAAGGTGAGCAGCTTTTATCATTACAAGGCATGCTGTGTTCGTTATTGGTTGATTGAAGCGTCACAACCATCCTTTCCCTTTAACCACCTCCATTTTAATAAATAAGAGTACTAAACCTTCAGAGATTAGTTTACCCAGTATTAGCAGGTGGCACTTAAATTCTCACTTGTTTTACTCTATCCCACGCTAAAACCCACAGTTCGGGCTTGTATTTAGCACACCAGTTGTTCCTGAGCACCACCAGAACATAGTTGTGGAGTGTACTAAACCTGATCTTTCATGTAGTGTTCTATTTCCGAAAATGCTTGGGGAGTCTTCTGAACCCGTCAGCCAAAATGTTATTTAAGGCCATCCATCCAGCATCTTCCAAACTGTCTCTGTCTTCTCAGAGGACTGTTAAACACGTAAATTGAAACCACAATTTGAGCCCTCAATTTTAAATTTTACTGGAGAAGCTGGGAATCCTATCTAGGCCAGAGGCTAGTTTCTAAAGAGAGAAATGGAACAGATTTTTTTTAAAGATGAAAACTAATTTATTCATGCTCCATATTATGTTAGTGATATAATGTCTCTGACAGGCTTGTGATATCTGAGCTTATTAGGCATTTTGTGAGCACCAAGCTGGGTGGAAGTGGTTTCTGCTGTTTTTTGTTTATTTTTTAGATTTTTTCTGTTTTTTTACTGTTATATCATGATTGTACATATTTATGGGATACATGTGATATTTTGATACATCCATACAATGTGTAATGATCAAACAGGGTAATTAGCATATCCATCACCTTAAACATTCATCATTTATTTGTGTTAGAAACATCACAAATCTATTTTGAAATACACAATAAATTATTGTTAACTATTGTCTTCATACTGTGCTATCAAACACTAGAACTTATTCATTCCTATGTAACCCCGTTTTTGTACGCATTGACCAACCTCTGTTCATCGCCCCCCTCTCCCCTATCTCCTCCCTTCTCTGGTATCCATTCTACTCTTTATCTTCATGAGATCAGCCTTTTTTAGCTCCCACACATGAACGTGAACATGTGATATTTGTATAATATCCTCCGATTCGTTCCATGTTGCTGCAAATGACAGGATTTCCTTTCCTAGTATTCTATTGTGTATATATACTATATTTCTTCATTCATCTGTTGATGGACACTTAGATTGCTTCCATGTCTTGGCTATTGTGAATAGTGTTGTAATAAACATAGGAATGCAGATATTTCTTTAATGTACTGATTTCCTTTTTTTTTTTTTTTTTTTGAGACAGAGTCTCGCTTGTTGCCCAGGCTAGAGTGAGTGCTGTGGCGTCAGCCTAGCTCACAACAACCTCAAACTCCTGGGCTCAAGCAATCCTCCTGCCTCAGCCTCCCGAGTAGCTGGGACTACAGGCATGCACCACCATGCCCGGCTAATTTATATATATATATATTAGTTGGCCAATTAATTTCTTTCTATTTATAGTAGAGACGGGGTCTTGCTCTTTCTTGCTCAGGCTGGTTTCGAACTCCTGACCTCGAGCAATCCGCCCGCCTCAGCCTCCCAGAGTGCTAGGATTACAGGCGTGAGCCACCGCGCCCGGCTCTGATTTCCTTTCTTTTGACTATATACCCAGCAGTAGGATTGCTGGATCATGTGGTAGATCTATATTTTATTTTTTGAGAAACCTCCATACTGTTTTCCATAATGGCTGTACTAATTTACATTTCCACCAACAGTGTATGTATGAGTGTGCATCCTTGCCAACATTTGTTATTTTTTGTCTTTTTGATAATAGCCATTTTAACTCCATTTTAACTGGGGTTACATGATATCTCATTGTGGTTTTGATTTGCATTTCCCTTATGAGTGATTTTGAGCATTTTTTAAATATACTTGGTCATTTGTATGACTTTGGTGAAATGTCTATTCAGAAAATTTGTCCATTTTTAAATTGGATTATTTGGTTTTTGCTATCAAATTGAGTTCCTTATATATTCTGGTTATCAGTCCCTTGTCAGATGGGTAGTTTGCAAATATTTTCTCCCATTCTTTATGTTATCTCTTCACTCTGTTGGTTGTTTCCTTTGCTCTGCAGAAGCTTTTTAATTTGATATGATTTCATTTGTCTATTTTTGCTGTTGTTGCCTGTGCTTTTGAGATCTTGCCCCCTAAATTTTTGCCCACACCAATGTTCTAAAGCATTTCTCCAGTGTTTTCTTCTAGTAGTTTCATAGTTTCCGGTCTTAGATTTAAGTTTTTAATCCATTTTGAGTTGATTTTTATATGTGGTAAGAAATAGGTTCTAATTTTACTCTCCTCCATATGGATGTCCTGTTTTCCCAACACCATTTATTGAAAAGACTGTCCTTTCTCCAGTGTATGTTCTTGGCACTTTTGTTGAAAATGAGTTGGCTGTAAATGCATGGATTTATTTCTAGGTTCTTTCTTCCATTCCACTGCCCTATATGTCTGTTTTTATGCTATCACCATGCTGTTTTGGTTACTGTAGCTTTATAGTGTATTTTGAAGTCTGGTAGTGCAATGCCTCTGGCTTTGTTCTTTTTGCTCAAGATTGTTTTTGCTATTTAGGGTATTTTGTGGTTCCATATGAATTTTAGGATTTTTTTTTTATTTCTGTGAAGAATATCGTTGGTATTTTGATAGGAATTGCATTGTATCTGTAGATTGTTTGGGGTAGTATGGGCATTTTAACATTAATTCTTCTAATCCGTGAGCATGGGATGTCTTTCCATTTTTGTGTGTGTCCTCTTCCACTTCTTTCATCAGTGTTTTATAGTTATATAGTTTATAGAAGAGATCTTTCACTTACTTGGTTAAATTTATTTCTAGGTAATATTTTTTGTAGCTATTATAAATAGGATTGTGTTCTTGATTTTTTTTCAGATTGTTCACTGTTAGTGTAGAAATGTTACTGATTTTTGTATCTTGATTTTGTGTCCTGCAACTTTACTGAATTCTTTTATAAGTTCTAACCATTTTTAGGCAAAATCTTCAGATTTTTCTAAATATAGTATTATGTTGTCTGTGAACAAGTATAACTTGATTTCCTCCATTCCAATTTGGATGCCCTTTATGGTTTCTGCTGCTTATGAAAAGGATCTCAGAATTAAGGCATCTGGTTGTCTTTTGCTATATACGTAAAGTACCTGTTTGGGAATTATGGTGCCAAACTATTATTTTAGAAGCTATATTTGTGTCATAACAACAGATTAGATGGCCATATCAGAGTTCATCAAGATCTAATTAAATTTTACCTTAGGCCCAGCCCAAGTTTTGAGGGTATGGTGAATTCCAGATACCCTGTCTGGATTTGTGAATCTATGTGAAGACTTATAGAATCATAATGGCACATGAAGTTTTGTTCAAGATTATCTAATTCCTCTTCATTTTAAAAATGAATCATTGAAACCAAGACAATCATTAGGTTTGTTAATAGCAGAGCCTCGGGTAGAACTGAGCCTAGGGGTAGAACTGAAGTCTCCAGGTTTGCTATATCATATTTAAGTCAGAGAAAGGTTCTTGGAGAAGTGGTTTTTTAGAAACTGCAATTTAGGTGAAGAAACATCTTATTTTTGAGAACTTTTAAAAAGACTTTACAACCCTGTGGGGTTTATAATATTCATAGGAAAAATTATGATATCACTTAAAACAGCTTTTATGTATTCAATAAATATGTCTCTCAACATCACTTCTAATGTCAGCATAGGATTCCATACTTTGGATATATTAACACCTGTTCTTAATAATCTGCTACTATTGGATATTTGTTTTCAGTTATTTTGTATTATTCAGTAAACAGACTCATAATTTTCAAAACAGCCAATAGGAAAGAAATGTTTAGATTCCCTCAGAAATATCCTAGGTTCATCATGATTTATTTGAGAGTCACCCGTGGACATGTGGGTACTACTTTATCATGTTCCTTCCTAATCCTTCTGATGGGTCATAAGGACATTTTCCCAGAGGTATAGCTTACTAAAATGTTGTATGGAAATTTCTCACAGGTGATTCCTGGAGCTGCAAGATAAGGTCTCCTATGACTTCTGTCTTCCAACTTTCCCTGCTCTGGTTTCATAGTTTCTACCCTTTCCCAAGAACAGCAGAAAATGAACAAGTTCCGGGTGAGTCATTTATTTAGCCCTTACTTTGTTTCACTGTGTGTGTGTTTAATGCATTTTATGAAAGAACCAGTCCGTAGAACTAGAAAAGTGGAAATAGTTAAAAATCACCTTCAGGGAAAATACTGTTTGAATAAAACTGCAGTTCTCAAAGTGTGGTCAGCAGATCCCTGGGAGCCCCAAGACCCTCTCAAGAGGTCTGTGGGATCCATATGCATAGTATTAGCAGATATTTGTATTGATGGTATAAAAGTAATACATAGATTGCTGCCTGTTTGGCATGAATTAAGACAATGACACCAATACTAACAAATATGATTTTTAAAGTATTTTATAATAAAATGTCAATGTTTGAGTAATATTTCTAAGGTGTGTACTCAGAGACAAACTCAGCAATTTTTGAGGACACAGCGATACAGATAAGAAAGGAACAGATAATAGGTTGATTAGGTAATGACACTCCAAAAGGTAATATTTGAGGAAAGTCCTGAATTAAATGAGAGAGGGAGCAAGATAGAAATCTGTGGGAAGAACATTCTAGGTAGGAGGAATAGCAAATACAAACACTTTGAGGCATGTTCTAGAAACAGTTTTGAGAAAATTGAAGCTAGGGAGAAGTGACTTAGGGAAATCCTGGTAAGAAGTAAGATCAAAGAGGAAAGGAAAGCTGGAACACATAGGACCTTGTACACTGTAGGCAACTTTAATTTTATTTGTTAATTGAAAAATTGGCTAGGTACAGTGCCTATAATCCTGGCACTGTGGGAGGCCAAGGTAGGAGGATCACTTGAGTTTAGGAATTCAAGACCAGCCTGGGCAATAGCAAGATCCCATCTCTACAAAAATTTAAAAATTAGCTAGGTGTGGTGATATGTGTCTATAGTCCCAGCTACTTAGGAGGCTGAGGCAGGAGGATCACTTGAGCCCAGGAGTTGTAGGCTGCAGTGAGCTATGATGATGCCACTGTACTCTAGCCTGGGTGACAGAGTGAGACCTTGTCTTAAAAAAATTAAAAATCTTTCTTTTTATATAATAAAAAAATGTATATAATATATATAACATATGTATGATTTAGGTGATATTGATAAAGCAAATACCAGTATATCCCCTATCTGGCTTAAGAAATGATAATTACTAGTACTTTGAAGCCCCTGTGTGCCCCTTCTCAGTTTCATCTCTACTATCACCCAGAGAAAATGAATCCTGAATTCTATGATAACTATTTCCTTGCTTTTTAAAATTTAATTGTTTATAAACAAAACAACATAATTGGCAATTAATTAAACACCTAACCCTCTGTTAAGAACCTGACATTGTTTCACATAATCCTCCCAACCGCCTTTTGGAGTGTTATCAATGTGTCAAATTTCAGTGTCAACACCATCTGCTTGTCTTTCCAAACCACAGCGTTTGGGCATCTTGGTAGAGAGAAAATCTCTAGAAAGAAGGAGAAAAATGTAAGAGGAAATTCAAACAATTTAACCTATTCTATAGTTCTGCTTCAGTTGATCTTGAACATAATTCTGACTTTTATGTTAAATTCTCCTTATCCAAAATTCACTGGAGAGTATACATGATGTTTTCGCTACATTATGCTCTATAACTAACTGCTGAATGGTCTTGAATAGTTGAAATAACTAGTTAGCCTTTTTGTTTTTTGAAGTAATTTTGAGTGCAGTTGTCACTGCTGACTCCTGGAAAAGTTTACTTGATGCAGATCCTCTAACTTTTTGTTTGTTCATAGCCATTTTGGTCAGATTTGATATCTTTTGCGTTTTTTCTTATGTCTCTAAACTTCTATTGGAATAAATTTCTCCTGCTCAGAAACATTCTTCATAGTTACTGTTATTTTGTTTTAGTGAGGATCTACTGGTGGAAACCTTTCAGTTTGTTTATCTAAAATATTCATGAAGAACTTTTTCATGGTGTATGGAAGCCTTGGTTGGCAGTTTTCATCCTTTGAAACATTGAAAAGCATTCACTGTCTTCAACTATTGATGCTGTTGAAAATTCACTTGTCAATTTGCCAGACCTTTGAGGCAAGTCTATTTTAGGGCTAGCTGCTTTTAAGATATCTTTTACTCTAGTGTATTTATGTGTGGATTTCTCTTTATCCCAATGAAATTTATTTGTGCTGCTTTGGGATTATTTAAGTGTTTTGAGTATTACTCTGTATTTCCTTTATTGACTTTTAAGGTGTACTTTTTTGTGGTGTTTGTTGATTAGCCTAGAGATTATAATATGCATAATTAAATTATCATAGCATCTTCAAATAATAATATACTTTTTAATGGACAATGTAATAAACTTTCAGTAGTATTATCCTATTTACTTCCTTTTTACCCTTTGTGGTCTTTGTCTCATATTTCATTTCTCATATATTTTAACCTCAAATACTTGTTAATTTTGCTATAAACAATTATTAATCTTTAAAAAATCTATGTGTATGTAAATAAAATAGCATACATATATATGCTTCAGAGGCTTTTTATTCCTTCCTACAGGTCTGGGATTCTCTGGTCATATCTTTTCCCTTCAGCCTAAACAGCTTATTTTTATCATTTAATGTACTCAGGACTAATGGTGACAAATTCACTTGGCTTTCCTTTCTGAAAATGTCTTTATTTCACCTTGATTTAATTTTTTTTTTTTTTTTGAGACAGCGTCCTGCTCTGTTGTCAGAGCAGGAGTGCAGTGGTGCTATTATATAAATAGCTCACTGCAACCTCCAACTCCTGGGCTCAAGCAATCCTCCTATCTCCGTCTCCCAAGTAGTTGGGACTAGACTACAGGCATGTGCCACCATACTAGCTAATTTTTAAATTTTTTGTACAGACAGGATCTTGCTATGTTGCCCAGGCTGGTCTCTAACTCCTGGCCTCAAGCAATCCTCCCACCACAGCCTCCCAGAATGCTAGGATTATAGATATGAACCACTGTACCTAGCCCATTTTAACCATTTTTTAAGCTTTCAATTCAGTGGCATTAAGCACATTCATATTGTTGTATAACTGTCATCACCATCCGTGTCTAATGCTTTTTTCATTTTGCAAAAATACTTGTTAATTTCTGGGTTATTTGGATGATAGCCATCCTAATGAGTGTGAAGTGGTTTTGTTTTTGTTTCATGTTGTGTTTTATTTTTTAACTTGAACTCTGTACTCATTAACTTTCTATACTCTTTTCCACCAGCCCTTGGCAACCACAACTTTATTTTTTTGTCTATATGAATTTGATTACTCTAGCATCTCGTGTAAGTGGAATCATACAGTATTTGTCCTTCTGTGACTATCTTATTTCACTTAGCATAATGTCTTCAGTTCATCTATGTTATAACATGTGTCGAATTTCCTTTGTATTTAAGGCTGAATGATATTATATTGTTTGTATATACCACATAGTGTTTATCTCTTCATCCATTGATGGACACGTGGGTTACTTTTCATCTTTTGGCCATTGTGAATAATAATGCTATGAACACGATACAAATATCTGTGTATAAGTTCTTGCTTTCAGTTCTTTTGGGTATATACCCAGAAGTGGAATACTGGATCATATGGTAATTCTATGTTTATTTTTTTTTCAGGAACTGTCATACTGATCTCCATAGCAGTTGCACCATTTTACATTCCCATCAGTAATACACAAGGTTTTTAGTTTTTCCACATCCTCACAAATACTTGTTACTTTCTGGGTTTTTTGGATGATAGCCATCCTAATAAGTGTAAAGAGGGTTTGTTTTTGTTTCATGTTGTGTTTTTATTTTTTTTTAACTCACAGCAAAAGTTATTCTTTTGGGGTGAACATTTCATTGAATTTTGGCATACGCATAAAAGCACATACTCATTCTCATTACCATGGTCAAGCTATAGAACAGCTCTATCACCTCCCTCTTTGTAGTCCTCCCACCACTAGTTCCTGGCAATCATTGATCTATTCTTCATTCATATAATTTTGCCTTTTCCTGCAGGTCATATAAATCGAATTATATAGTATGAAATTTTTCTGACTTATATTTCTTAATTTAGCATAATACATTTAAGATTTGAATATGTTGTTGCATGTATCAGTAATACATTGTTTTTAATTGCTAAATAGTATTCATTGTAGAATAAATAATGGGATAAATAAATTGTACCCCATTTATTTATCCATTCACTAGTTGAACAAACATTGAAAATATTGTTTCCAGTTTTTTGGCAATTATGAGCAGAGCTGTTACAAATATTCGTGTACTGATTTTTGTGTGAACATAGATTTCACTTCTCTTGGGTAAATGCCTAGCAATACACTTGTTGAGTCCTTGATAAGTATTATGTTTAACTTTATAAGAAACTACCAAACTGTTTTCCAGAGTAGCTGTACTATTGTATATTCCTACTACAATTTCGTAGAATTCCATTTGCTTCATGTTACTTGACAGCACTTAGTATTGTCAGGTTTTTTTTAAGTCATGCTGATAAGTGCATATTAATATCTCATTATGGTTTTAATTTGCATTTCCCTAACAACTAATGATATTGAACATTGTTTGATGTGTTTATTTGCTGGCCATATATCTTGTTTTGTGAAGTATCTCTTCATATCTTTTGTCCATTTTAAAATTTGGTGTTTTCTTACTGTTGAGTTTTAAGAGCTCGTTTTTCTTTTTTTCTTTCTTTTTACTGTATATACATTGTAGGATCTTTATTTTTTCAATTTTTTTTTTAATTTCAGCATACTATGGGGGAACAAATGTTTAGGTTACATATATTGCCCTTGCCCAACCAAGTCAGAGCTTCAAGTATGTCTATCACCCAGATGGTGAACACTGCACTCATTATGTATGTATATACCAACGCCCTCCATCCCCCTCCCATGTGCCCGATGCCCGATAAATGTTATTACTACATAGGAACTTAGGTGTTCATCACTTACTACCAATTTGATGGTGAGTATATGTAGTGCTTGTTTTTCCATTCTTGGGATGCTTCACTTAGTAGAATCAGTTGTAGCTATATCCA